GAAATTTGCTCTTGGGTTAAATTAAACCTAGGTCCAAATGAATGGATAACAACGCCCCAGCCATTACACCAAACATCCCAATGATTTATTACTTGAAAACAAATTGTATTTATTCTTTTAAAGCTTGATAATGGTTCCATACTCATTTCCTGATTTAGCTGCATATCCTAAAGATGCTGGTTCTTCACAAGGGTCAACTCAGTACCATCATGCAAAACCAAATTCATGATGCTCAACAACATCAGCTAATTGATCATCATGTTTCTCAACACCAGCATGATCTTCCTCCGCACCGGGGTAGTCTATCTGATCCATATCGAACCCATTCTCAAAAAAGTTATGAACATTATCATGGGATAGAGTTACATCATCTGTGTGTGTCCGAGAAGTTGCTAGTTTATGATCATGATCATGAGTTGGTCTAATTTCCAAATCAACATCACGGATCGGCTCTGTACGTAGTAAATCATGATTACGGCCATGAACAAAGTTGGCATTATGCCCTATTTCCCAAATACTGATTCTGCCGCAACGAAAAATCTTGATTTTTCGCGATCGACAAGTCGCGGTTTGCCATAAGTTAAGCAACTGATACCCCACCCTTTACACTTCTTAGCAAATCAGCAACCAACAACCAGAGAGGAAGCTCTATTCTGACACTGGTTTGGTCTCAAACAGAACCTGTTGATGTAATAATATTAGTAAGCAAACAATTACCTTACAGAAAAAAGGAACTTTCATTAGTGTTTCAATCTAAACATGATATAAAGCCATAAATTTATGGGAAGCCAGAGGCTATAGAATCGATACAAATAACAACATTAAAAAAAACCTTAAATTGCTCTTTAATCGAAAAATCAAGTACCTATTCTATTGAAAATTACAACAAATTCACTCTACAGCTAATTTTGTCCCTCAAAATTCATTGCAAGATGTCCCAAGCGACAAGAGTTTTTTTTTCTTTAAAAAAAAAACTCATTGATAAAGTAGAAAGAAAATGACATAAGAGAAACCGAAACGTAGTTTTTTCTGGGCAAACAAATAAAAGAACAAAAAGAAAGCAACTTGCTTTCGGTTTGGTCTTTTATCAAACACAACAAAAACTCAAACGTTTCAATAAATCAATCAAGAGTAAACCAGAAGAGAAGAAGAAGAAAGTAACAGAGAGATTGGGGTTTACATGTAAATTGAGGAGTTAGAGAGAGAGAGAGAGAGAGAGAGAGAGATGGTGGGGGGTTTAGGGTTAAAAGGGGAAAACAGGGCAGAGAGCTTCATCCCATCCTTTTTTTATATTGCTTTTCGCGGCAGAATTAGTGAAATATTGATACCGGCCGATTATTTAGTCCAATAGGTTAATTTTACTTTTATTTTGGGATTTACGAAAAAGTTACATTGTAATTGAGATTAGTCATGACGAATTTCGTGAAATATATTTTTTAATGGGTAGTGAAAAGTGGTTTCTTAGGTCGAATATATTTAATATATTTTCAGGTAGTCTTCAATTAAAAATATTTTTTTGGAATTTTAAAAAATATCGTAAAAAATATATTATTTTAATGGATAAGGAATTCTTCACCCCGACTTGACGAGTTTCAAAGGATCGAAAATTTGAAGTTTTCAATCGTTGGTGTGACCATTGGCGAACGGGTAATTTTTTTAAATCCAATGAAACTCGTCACGCTGGTGTAACGAGTTCCAACGATTATTTTGAGAGATGATTTTAGTATAAATAGGGGTTTAATGAAATGTTTTGATGTATGCGAAGTGAAAAAAATTTGAGAATCTATATTATTCACGTCCTTTGCTTTGCATTGACATTTCACATCAACTCAAATAAACTTAAAACTTTTAGAGAGTAAGAGAATCTACACTATTCTACCAAAATAAAACAAAATTAATAATGGTTAACTTTAGTTTTAAAATGATATAGAATTTTCATATTTATTTACATATTTGTTTATATATTTTTCAAAGTTATTTTTGATTAAAAGTTAATTAATGACAATTTTCTAACCATTTTAAGGGTGAACACATATATATTATTGATATAATTTCTTTATACAATTAAATGTCGAGTACAAAAATATTACTTAAATAAACAAATATATTACATATATTTGTGCAATTCTTGCCGATGTCGATGAGTTGTAGAATAGTAATGACGTCATGCTCGTCGATTTCGTCGTGGTCGTCCACCTTTGTCATTTTTGTCTTCTTGCGATTCTGATGTACTAAACATTACTCCACCACTTTGATTTCCACATTCGGGTGAAAACGATGTAGTATTCAATGTATTTGATGCCATCATTGGCGTCATCAACCACACCGAAATCACCACGAGATTGACCGTATTGAAGATGATCATCCCATAGACCAGTTGCTCCCGTTTTTTCTACCAAAAATTGTTGTGAAGGTAGCACTTGATCCTAGGAACTTCCTACCCACACCGCTCAACTCTCCATCAATGCTTGATATGGAGCATATCCACCATAACTTTCTTGAGATGGATAATAATCGACGGAAGCATAAGATGAAGATGTTGATGAAGATGATGATTTTTTTGCATATTTTGCCTTAATTTCCTCCCATTTTGACCGATCATCCGGCGTTGTCAAATATGGTTTCCTATTTGTTTCATAATTTTGGAAGTAGAGAGAAAATGTGAAATCAAAATCTTTGGGTTGAACATCAGAACGATTAAGCAAATGTAAATGCCTCTCATGACATTGTTGTATGAATATAGCATGCTTCCTCGGCCAATCTTCCATATACTTTTCGCGCGCATCTATTTTATGGAACTCGTTCATGTTATATATGAACATTTCCATCGGTTGGTGAAACTCAAATTGTTGCAAAACTTTATTGGCGGTATAGATCTCAACAATTGCAAAATGGAGCAATGGTGTTATGGCACACCATGTCTCCGCTTCTTCAAAGAAAAATGGCGGTAGACACCTTTGGATCTCCGACGCACAATACGACAACCAATTAAACTGTCAAAATTATTATGTTAGTATAATTAAAGAATTAATATTACAAATTTCAATGTTAATGCAAAAATTATTAATATTTACTGCATATTTACTGGCGATATCGATCCTCATTCGGATATCTACTTTGGTTGCACCAGACAATTTTGTATCGGTTATTCTGTGTCGCCATCTAAACAAAAAAAAACAACTACATTATTTATTATCATTTTAAAAATATTTCAATAAATATTTTAAAATATAGGAATTTAACTTGTGACGAGAGGAAACTCTATAAGAGCGGATGTAATAGACGTAAAAAACGGGAGACGATACCACACCCATAATTGGAGCAAAACTAAACAACCCGCTACATCTGGTTTTTCCTATAACCACTATGGTCGCCTTATACAGTTCACGATACAAAAAAAGCTAAAATTGCATAACCCCAACTATATTGGCGGCATACAAGAAAATCCTCCAATACCAGAAGATATTGGGTGTGCACCAAATTATTCGATTTATCCGGTAGCAAGTCCCTCCAATCAACGTCATAAGATATGTTCGGGCTGCATATTTCACCTCTTGCTCCGTTGATTGTCCATCTACTCTAAATTCTCTTTCCATCCACGTCATCCGTATCCGCATTCGCATCCCATCATTGACATCGACTGGAGCCTCATTTCCCAATAACTTATAAATAATTGCATCTCGCGCATAATTGTTGTGAAACACCAATGGCATACCATTAATCGAAACACTAAGTTGATACGTGGCATATTCCAATGTTATCGTCTCTTCACCAGAAGGAAAATAAAACACATGTGTTTCGGGCCTCCAACGCTAAATCAACGTCGATATCAGTGCCGACAACACCTTAAAATCACGAAGAAACGTCGCTGGATACAATCCGAATTATTGAAGATATATCACAATCCGCTGATGTGGTTCTTCATTCATCATTTTTCGATGACGAATGCCTCGTTCTTCTTGCTACAATTTAAAAATAAATTAATTAATAAAATTATATAAATAATTATTATTAATACTATAATTTTTTCAAAAGTTAAATAAAATAAAAACAAATTAAATTTACCGTAGTCAACTCGGTCGACGAAATATAAACATCGTCAAGACGTAACATTTCTTCTCTTGAGGCAATTTAAACACAAAATTTTCAACAAATTTTTTTTTATTATCAATAGAATGTTTGATTTCAAATGAAAAATCAATCCAACAAAAACTTTTATTTATACTACTCTATCAAACTGCTATAAACGACTAGCTTTTTTGAATTGAAAATAATCGTTGGAACTCGTCACACAAGTGTAACGAGTTCCATTGGATTTAAAAGAAATTACCCATTCGTCACCGATTATCCCAATAATAAAAAACTTCAAAATTCTGACCTTAATATATTAAATTCAAATTAAATCCAACTCGAGTATAACCATGACCCAATCCGAACTCAATTTTTTAAAACGCGATCTAATAGAATTGGGTGAGTCATAATGTGTTGGGATCGAATCCCGTTCTTTATAACACCTGTTGACCGCCTTGATTTCGTTCTTTATTTGTTCCCACTTGTGTTTAGCCGCAAGGTTGTTTCCCCACCCCACGGGAACTTATAGTCAACATCTTGAAGACTCTGTAGTTGTTATGCACTCTAATTTAGGTCTATATGATAAAATATATATAAAAATCCATAATTCATGACGAAATTTTATTCAAAACATGAAGGCCTTCCAGATCATGCACGTTCGCATGAACAAAACAAAGTACGATTACAAAATTGATTTCTTTCTCCCACGTTCATAAACTCTTTTCAGATCCTTCAAGTTCTTGTTATTTTTTTGCATTCAGACAACATGCAATTCTATAATTTGTGAAACATTAATCTAACATTTTAATTATATATTTGTGAAAAAAGAAAGCATTCTAGAAAGTTTTTCCTGTCGAAGGAAGACAAAAGTTTTGGCCTATAAATAAAGCATATCATTCTGGGAATCATATCAGACAAACCCACCAAAGATGTTGATTCAGCTACTTGCATTATTGTTTATCGTCATTTTCCCTTTTTTTATCTTCAAGATCATCACTAAATCATCGAAATCCAGAAAATCAACTCCACCTTCAATTTTCCCAAAATCTTATCCAATAATCGGTTCTTCCTTGGCCATCAAATCCCATCGAGAAGATCGGGTGCAATGGACTACGCAAATCCTCCAGAGATCTCCCTCCGGAACTTTCACCTTCGACCTTTTATTCGGTAGACGTCACATCTTCACGGCGAACCCCGCTAATGTCCAGCACATGCTGAAGACTCACTTCCCCAACTACCAGAAAGGCCCTTTCTCTTACAGCGTTCTCTTCGACTTTCTCGGCAACGGAATCTTCAACGTCGACGGTGAGTCCTGGAAGTTTCAGAGACAAGTTGCAAGCCACGAGTTCAACACCAAGTCTCTTCGTAAATTTATCCAAACCGTTGTTGATACCGAGCTTAACGACCGTCTGATTCCGATGTTTTTTGATGCTACTGTTGATAAGACCGTGCTTGACTTGCAAGAGATTCTTCAGAGATTCGCTTTTGACAACGTTTGTAAAATCGCCTTCGGGTTTGACCCAGCATGTCTTTCGCCGTTGTTACCGTCGGCGGAGTTTGCCGAAGCGTTTGAAGATGCTACTAATATAAGTAGCAGAAGGTTCCGTGCTCTTTCTTGTTTATCTTGGAAAATCAAGCGGTTTTTCGATGTGGGATCGGAGAAAAGACTGAGGACTGCGGTCGACCGAGTCCGTGACTTTGCGATGAAGCTTGTAAGGGAAAAGAAACAGGAACTGGCCGATAAATCGTCTTTGGAATCTGTTGATCTTTTATCGAGGTTTTTGAGTTCGGGTCACACGGACGAGAATTTCGCTACGGATATTGTCATCAGCTTCATACTCGCCGGCCGCGACACGACGTCGGCGGCTCTGACATGGTTTTTCTGGTTATTATCCCAGAACCCTGAGGTTGAAAAAGAGATTCTCAAAGAAATCAAAGGGAAATCCGATATGCCGGTGTTTGAGGAAGTTAAGGACATGGTTTACACACATGCTTGTCTCTGCGAGACCATGAGACTGTATCCTCCGGTTCCGGTGGACGGCAAGAGGGCGGTGGACGACGATGTTTTTCCGGACGGAACTGTGGTGAAGAAAGAATCAACTGTGACGTATCATCCTTATGCGATGGGGAGGATGGAGATTATATGGGGATCGGATTGGGCGGAATTCAAGCCGGAGCGATGGTTGCAGAGAGACGAGGAAGGAAAATGGAGCTTTGTGGGGAGAGATCCTTATACTTATCCGGTGTTCCAGGCGGGACCCAGGATTTGTCTGGGGAAAGAGATGGCGTTTCTGCAGATGAAAAGGGTGGTGGCTGGCGTTCTAAGGCGGTTCAAGGTGGTGCCGGCGGTGGAGGATGGGTTTCAGCCTTCGTTTATTGCTTTCCTGACGTCGAAAATGAAAGGCGGATTCCCTGTCAGGGCTGAGGTCAGAGTAAATCTAGATTAGATAATATTGTGTCGTTATTCACTTGCCAGTGAATTTATTTATTTTTATCATTTTGTTTTTATGTTCCTCCTGTTCAACTGCCACTTATAAATTAAACCAAGGCAAGAATGTAACAATCAGAACTAGTACTTAAATAATTACAATTATGGATCATAATCATATTCTATATTGTGTTGGGCTCCAGATTCTTACTGTAGATATCAATTTTTTCATTTAAATTTATTATTATTATTAAAATTATTATTATTAAAATTATTATTATTATTTATTATTAATATTAATATATATATATTATTATTATTTAATAAATATTACAAACCCAAAAATGAGGCCCGATTACAACCAGGCCAGATCAGAAATGGCCCAAAATAGATGACCCAAACCCTTTAGGGTTTGTAACATATCAGCTAGGGTTTTCTAACCCTAGCCCCAGCCGCCGCTGCTTCCAGAAGCTCCAAGTTGCCACGCGGCGCCGCCTCTACCATTGCCTCATCCCCCTGCTGCCAAGTGCTCCAATCAGCCACTGCCGACGGTCAGCCGCCCCATGTCGCTACCTTACTGCCACGACACCCATCGAAGCTCCCAGAGGAGTCATTCCAGCCGTCCACGCATCCCGTTCTTCGGTGAGTCACCACAGATTCGGTGACTCACTAGAAATCATCTCTAGGACCAGTCCGACGAGAGCCTCGGTGGTGGCTATAAAAGCCACCACACCTGCAAAGAGAAGAAGAAGACAGCCACGACAACAGAAGGGAAAACACAGACAGAAACGAAAAGAGAGCACAACAAATATAAACGAGACACCACGAGAAGAAAAACTACCAACGATCTCAGTCAACGACGAACCAATATATAAAAAAAGGAAAATAGAAGAAAAGAGAAGAGAGAGCTTACTTTGTCATCGGAGGCACTCGAAACATCACCCGAAACCTTCGGATTTCGAAGGTAAAATCCTAGATCTAGGAATTTCTAAGGATTTTTAGGACAAATAGAGGCCGTATTCGACCTTAAGATGTAGAGATCTACGGTTTGGGCTAATTTTCCTAACTCCGGCCACCGTGAACGGTGGCCGGTAGTGGTGGTCGATGGTAGAGTAAGGCTGCCGGTCGCTGGTCGGCCAGCCTCCGGCGGGAAGAAGGAAGAGAGAGGCGAGAGAGTTTTTTTTCTCTCTCAGATAGAGAGGGAAGAGGAAAGAAGCGAATGAAGATGCTGGCCCGTAGGGCCAGTCGTTTAGGGTTTATAACCCCTCCCCCATACGACGTCGTTTAGGGGGAGGGGTGTGCGTGTAATTTCTATTAGGGGTAAACCCTGTTCGCAGTCATTATAGTTTGTGATCATTACAATTTAGTCACTGAAATTAATTTCTGATTATTTTAATCTAGTCTTTTAATTTAATTTTATTTTAATTTAGTCCTTATCAGCATATATATTTAAGGTAAATATCAAATTTAGTCCCTCATAGTTTAGTAATTTTTATTTTAATCCCGTATTATGAATTATGGTTAAATCACACTGTTAGCACTCAAGTTTTATAATATTTCGAATTAGAACTTTAGTTTTATAATCTTACATTTTAATCATTAATTTCATTAGTTTTTATTTTTTTTACTATGATTTTTAATATTTTAAATTTTAATACTATATTTTTATTTCCTTTTATTTTAATCATTATTTATTTTATTATTATTATTTTTTTTATTGTTTTAATTATTATTTCATTATTATTATTTATAAATATATATATATATATATAATAATATATTTATTTTTATTTAAAATCCTATATTTCATAAATTACTTTTAATAATTATGTTTTAATATATATTTATTTATTATTAAGAAATGGCAGTATTAAAATAACTGGATATCCATTTTCTGATATTTTTAAATAAATAAATATCCTATTGTTTTAAAATTATTAATTGTTTATTTATTAATATCGAAGAAAAGAGCTGTCTTAAGGCACCTAGAAGTCATTTTCTGATATTTCTAAATAAATAAATATTTTATTTATATTTTATATATAAATATATTTTTTATATAATTATAACTTTGAAATAATAGAATTATAAATTAAATATATTTGAATTTTTAATAGAGACAATTTATAATTAATAAATTACCAATTTTGGGCGTTGTAGGGGTGCTAATCCTTCCCTAAACGTAACCGACCACGAATCCATTTTTATTATTAAAAAGAACGAATTTTTGGTTAAACGCAGATCAGTTTATCTTTTAACTGATGTTTTCTTAAAAACTCTTTTAAAGGATGATTTTTAGGTATTCGACCTACCTAACCCAAAAGGCCGATGGTGACTCCCAAATTATTTTAAAAAAACCATTTATTCACATCACTTTTCCCGCCAAAATAAAAATTTCGTGCCCGGACGAAAACCGGTTACGACAGCTTGGCGACTCCGCTGGGGACTGTCAAACTTTAAAATCAATTGTAAATTGTCTCTATCAGTTGGAAATTTAAAATTCATATATTTAATTTTTAATTCTTTTCTTTCAAATTTTTTATTACTTATTATTTTTTATTTTATTTATTTATTTTATTCAAGAATTAATTATTTTATTTATCTGTTAGAGGTTTGAACATTTCTCCTCACACATAACACTTGCATTGCATAACATAAAGCTCTATAATTGAGTTTGTCCCTTTTAAGTGGGAGTGAAAGCGACGTCTTCGTGAGAATTTATTCTCCGTGTCAGACCTAGCAAGTAACTTTCGGGGTTCATATGCTCTATGTCTTCGTGAGAATTTATTCTCCGTGTCAGGTATAGAGAAATGTATCCCCTCGAATTGAACTCGATCCACTTAAATCTGTAATGGACTAGGATTGAGGGTTGACAACCCAAGGGGACACTAACAAGGACAATTCGAGTACCTTTACTCCTAGAACTAAAACCCTACTTGTAATAAACCTTAGAACTTCTCCTGATCTAAGACAGTACTGAACCTCTGTCCTTAGGTGTACACTGAGGAGAAATAAGCTTTAGCTTTTAATTTTTTAATTTATTATTTTCCTGAATAAATGCCTGCGAACTAAAAATCATGCGGTTAGGTTAAATTTTCCAAACAAAGCATGGAACTAGAAAGCATGAGGTTAAGATTTATACATTGATAGATAGATTTTTTTCATTAGTTGGTACTAACTATTTTATTTTTTCTCATTTCTTTTGTTTGCATTGCATGATCATATCATAACCAAAAGGTGTTTGCTTGAAAGACTGTTCATCATATTGGAAAGAAATTGTAAATGGACAAAAAGTTTTATGATCAAACAAAATATGATGCGGCCAAAGAAAGACATCCTGAGGAAACTCTGAGGATAGATGCAAGCTATGCACCCAAAGATCGTATGACCATTGAAGAGCAAAAGGAGATACGAGAAATAAGAGAGCAGATGACCAAGATGATGGATAGAATATCTGTTTTGGCCAAAGGAAAAGAGATTCCAGCACAGAAAGAGAGAGAGCTCAATGAACCTAACCCTGCAGTTTCAGATACACAAGGGACTTCGATTCTTAACCAATTTGAGAAATTACAGAAAGTCATCATTCGTATTCACAAATCGTCTGGAGATACCAAAGAAATGGTGACGACTGTACAAGCTCCCAGAGAAGAGAAGAAATCATGTAATCAGAAATCATCAAAGTTTGGTCTGCTCCCGACATCTAAAACTCAGGTTCAATCCAAGATAAAAGGCGGTTCTCATATTGATGCTATACCTATATCATATAAAGAGTTGTATGAAAAGTTACTTGAAGCACGAGAAGTGGCTCCATATTACATAAAACCATTCCAACCTCCGTATCCAAATTGGTATGACATCAATGTTCATTGTGAATATCATGCCGGAGCTCAAGGACATACCATCGAGAATTGTCTTGCCTTCAAACGTCGAGTCCAAAGTCTTTTGGATCATGGAACCTTGCAATTTATGGTAAATGATCGACCTAGTTTGGTAACCGAGGGTCCTGATAGATTAATACCAAAAGTCTTCAAAGGTAAGAATATCAGTAGGGGCGCCCAGAGAGAAAAAGATTTGCTGAGGTTTGAAGCTCAAATACGTCATTTGAAGATTAAAAACGATAAATTGAGCACCAAAATGGAAACCATACATGAAGACTTCCAGAAGGTCAGTCAAGCCTTTCAAAATGCTGGTATAGGAAACACCCCAGAAGAGTGGATAGCAGGGGTCACCAAACTGAAAAAGAGTTGTAACATACATGAAGATCTTGTCCAAAAACTTTTTGAACACAAATGTTTTCTCACAAAGGAAAATGATCAACTCCGAGAATTGACATAGGAGATGAAAGAACACCAGAATGTCATGGAAGAAGCTGCAGTCCAGATAAGCAATATGGCCCATAAGCTGATAAACTAACTTGGTTTTAGAGAAGAAAATGGGAAAGTTATTCCCTATATGTAAAGTTTTGTTGAAGTTAGGACTGAAAGTTGTCCCCTACATGTAAAAGTTTTGTTTGATGTACTGAAGCTTTTGTGTTCAATGAAATTTGTTCTAAGATGATCATTCTTAAGTAACACCTTTTCATACATGCATTTACATTTTGTATCTGTGCATTTTCATTTTGTATTTTTACTTTTTATATCTTTGAATTGCACATTTTGCATTCTTATTTTTCCATTTATGCATTTTTCACATTTTTATTTAAGTACTGTTATGTACTTTAATTATAAAAACATGTTAATAATTAATGAAAGGTTTTGTAACAGTAAAACCAAGGTCATTCATTCATATTACTTTACTATCATCATGAAAACAATGGAGCAATCTTATAAGGGACTATAAGACCAGTGGCCAGAACAATTGACAGGGTTATCTCGGGATACAAGGAAAGAAGCGTCAGATTCAGTACCATATGAATCAGATCAAATTATTCAGGGAATGGAATCTGATAAAGAAAAGATAACTGCTAAAAAGAAATCGTGCTATCAGATTGAAGAATCGAGAAAAATAACATACCCTGGAGGATCCCACTCAAACCCAAAGAATAGCCTCATTAATTATTCACAATATGAGGAGAGAGTCAAGAGGACAGAGAAAACAATCAGAAACATGAAAGATGTTAGTGCCCACCACAAAGAATTAGAAGCAAGAAAGCTCAGCTTGGTTCCAGATTTGATTATTCCCCATGAATTC